GGGCGTGCCACGGAGGAGGAGTGCGGAGGTGGTCGACCCGAACTCCCTCAATAGAGGGAGTAGCGAGGCAGGGGCGGGCCGAGTGGGCGCGCCTGATTATAATCGGGCTGAAAGAAAAATTAAATTATTATGTAGAGTGCGGGTTACTCCATACTAGAAAGTTCATGGCGGGTCAACGCTGCTTGGAGTGTGCAGGCCTCTGTGTGTGCGCGTATGTGTGTGTGCGCGTGCGAAGAGGCCCTGTGCGTGCACGCGACGCTTGAGAGGTCGCCGCACGCGTGGCGCCTTGTAACCCTGCCGTGCGAACAGAGCTATTACTTTTTTCCCCCGCCGCGCCCCTCGCGAAAATTTAATTTTCAGCAAACTAAAAAAAACATCTTCACTCTCTTGGAGCAATCGAAGCAGCACAGCCATTCCCAGGGAGCTTCTCCTCGGAGTAATGTGCGTCTCTGGTGCGCGGTGCCTGACAAACCCATTTCCAGGGCGCCGGGTTACCTTTCTCCCTTTGCGCCCCTTCGCACATTATGACATTACTCGCCGCGTTCCATTTGCCACACGCTTCCTTGTCGGCGAACTCAAATTACCCCGCCGTTTTCATTTGTTCCCTTCTCCCCCACGGGTGCATCACTCCCCGTGCCAAATCCGCTTCCGGAAAGGATGGGGGAACGCCGTGCCGAGTCTTCGTTCTGGCGCCGCCCTTCAACCGACCCGAACCAACCCCAACCTTCACCTCTAGCTGAAAAAAATAAAAAAAAGTAAAAGATATCCACCACATTTTTTTCTGAATGACACCTGACTTTTCTTTAATGAGAGCTTAAAACTCATACTGCTGGTTAAGTCTGTGATGATATGAACCAATTCAGTGATGCTAGGAACCAATTCTGTAAAACTGACCAACGAGAAAACGAAGGGTTCAGGCCAACCGTTTACTCCCACCGTTGGACACGCTCGACCACTCTCCTCCGGTAGGTGCAATCCCGACTGTCCCGCCAGACAAAGGCCTCTTTTTCTCGTCACCCTTCGAAACCGCTTCATATCCGCTCTCCTCAACCCACTCCCCCGGCATCCAAGCCCTTGCCCCGCTCCACCTCCCCCCCCCCCCAAATATCGCCACATGCCACCGTAACATATGGGCTGTCGTGCCGCCCGTCCGTGGTGGGGGGTGAAGGGGGCGGGGTGGGGGACTTGAGGTTGGCTGGACGGGCCGTGTCTCGTTTGGTCACTTGTTCTTGTTATGCCTCCCCTGGACAACGCAGGGACGGCAGGACAGCCGAGGCTGGCGCGCCATTTTTCAAACGCCTCGCCGCGCTGCCTCCACGCTGCCGGGCCCTGTCACAGCGATATCACTTTCGATGTTGTTGTTTGCGCGTCTAATATCGGCGGCGCTGCGCCACGTTCTTGGCGTCGGGTGTCCTTGACCCAAACTTTTCGCAAATATATACGTCACGGCGGTGTTTTTCGGATGCTTTTTCCGGCGGCAGTCGATAGCCGATCCCAGCGATCCGGCTATCCCCGGCGGCGGCGGCGGCGGCAGCGGCCTGTCAGGGGTATCTCCGGCAGGTTGCCGCTACGCTACGCCGCGCAGCGCGCAGCCCGGCGGGCCGCCTGACAAACTGCCTACCTGCCAGGGGCAGGGCCTTGATTGTATCGCACCCAGTTTATCACAACAGCGGCCCCGCCTCTCTCTCTTGCTCTCTCCGTTCCTCTCGTTAGCGTTATCTTCGAGCGTTTGAAAGCTCGCTCGAAATGAGACTGGCCAAGACGGAGCACATGTCGGCAGCGCAGACGCGTGGACCGCCCCGGCGATGTCTCAAGTAAAGGCATCCGACCACCATCGGCGATCTCAAGCGACCTTGGACACACAGTCGGGGAGTTTGAAACCCGGTTTTTACTGTTGCTTTTGCTGTGCTGCGTGTTGGGTGGCTGCCTACGGAACTATACAGCCTATCTGTTATTGTTGAAGACCGTTTCAGAAAGCGATTTCCAGTTTGCGGTGCGGTAGGCCGAGCTCTGAATGACGCCCCAATGCTTCATACATTGCCAAACACACACACACACACAACGAGGGAGCTGGGCCCCAAACTAGTTTTTGCCCGACCAGGCGGACCATTTCTGTGCGGTATGGGAACGATTGTACTATTGGCACGACGATCGCGTGCCCGGCCTTGGCGCGTTCGTGCCACCGATTGCCCACAGTGCTGTCGCTCCGACGAACTCTCGTCGGAAATGTGTTGCGGTGCCTGCTAAACCAGTAGTAAGGTGCCTCATGTTCACCGACCGCCATCTTGGTTCCACATAGGAAGCCGAGCCGGCCGTCGTCCCCTTCCTGCTGCTGCTGCTGCTGCTGTTGCTGCTGCTGCTGTGGTTCTGCGGGCGACCCGTTCCACCCTTTCTTCATAATCTCTCCTGTCTCGGGCGGCGCATTAACAGTTTCCACTCTTGTTTACTTTATTAACTTTCGCCAACAAGATGAGGAAGAAAATGCAATTTTCGGGCCAGTGCTGTCACAGTGGGTCACTGCCAGCAGTGGCTCCGTGCAGTCTATTTGTTTCTTGGACGAGTTTTCGCGGAGAAGAGTGAGAGGAGGGGGAGGAGGGGGAACGAGGCATGACCTCACCCGGGGGACCGCGCAGCAGCTCATGCAGACAATACGGAATACAGAAAAGTCCTCGTTTTCCATTGCAATGGTCCGCACAGCAGCCATCCTGAATTAGAACAATGACACTGTTTACTTTAAGAATCCAATTTGACTGGTGCTTCTTGTATTTGTTCAGCGGATTTAACCAACTGCTACTGAATTGAGGTGGGGGTTAGTTATGAAACTGCTGGCACTGCTATCCCTATGCGCGGGCTGCTCCTCCCTGAATGTTTCTATGGCGCTCGCGGGGCCGGACGGGAAAGAAGGCCCTCGCGGTCGTGTGTGGGGGAGGCGGTGCACGCACGATGCAGTGCTTGGGCCTACAGCCGTGCCTACAGCACACAGGGGTGTTTTACCGCGTACGCTCGTCCGTTAGCAGCCCCGACGTTCCCGTAATCCGCTCCCCCGCTTGCCCGCACTCGTCCCCTCCGCCCTGGTGGAGGCCTCATTCCCGCCCACACGACGACGAGCAGACGAGAACACGGCGGAGATACACCCCGCGCCTCGGGGACCGCTAGACGCGCGCACGGCGATACCCCGCACGCCGGGCGCGAGCCTGGGTGGATCCGTTTCGCTCTCGCGGACGGCCCACGTTGACGTGACGTACTGCGCGTCGGTCCGGCAGCTACCGGGCGTTGGCTGGGCAGACGCCACCGCATCAAAGTGGGAATAGCAAGAGCATCAAAACTGTGCGCGGTCATCTCTCTGCTGCTGGCTGCGCGGCGCTGCAGAGCAGTAAGCCTCACTTTCCAATTGATCTGGTGAACGAGGTTACAAGAACTTACCCCTGACAGCACCGAGGAATTTACCCATGGATCGAGGAACACATTCCTGTCGCTGTGTTTCTGGTTTGGGTCGACCTCGGAGCTCGAAACGCGTCGAGAGTCGAGTCCGCCCGTCCACATCCGCGTGGTCCTTGTGGCAGTGTGGGTCGGCATGGCCATGTGAGCCGGAATAGCCCAGAATGTGTTATTGCCCGCGCTACCCGTCCGTCCGGTCCGCTGCGAGCCCCACCGCGCGGTCTGGCCCCCGGTCTGGCCCTACACCGCACCGCTTGCAAACTTTGGGGCGTGCTGCCGCGCGCTCATTATACAAACCTCGGCCGTGCGCACCGCGGCAGCGTGGCACCGCGGCAGCGCGTGTCGATCCGACGGGTCCAACGAGAAAATGTCGTGCCAACTTTCCACGGGCCCAGTGCAAACTCGCCGCGGACTACTTATTTCGAAACGTTTTAATTTTTCCCTCCACTTTTTTCTCGGCGTGTAAAGGCACACCGCTGGAAGGGAACGCGTACAACAGGGTCGCCACGGGGTATAACCTTGATGCGCTGCTGGGTCCGCACTCACGCAGCGCGCGCGGCGGACAGGAAACCAAATGTCGCGCGTAAGGAAGGGAAGGAAAAAAGGTCCAAGTCGTAAAAAAGTCTACCCGAGTGGCCTCCTTTACATATGCATGAGACACCACAGCGCACGCCCCGCCCCGCCTCCCCCGGCGCGACACGGCAGCCCGCCTCACCTCCCTCGACCAATTTGGACCGGAGGGGGGGGGGCAGTCGGCCGGCGTTCGGCCCCCCCAGTGATAGCCACTGATGAGAGGTGATGCCTGTCGCGTCCGTCGCCTCGGCATTAATTATCATTGCCGCGAGCGAATTGGCTCGACAAGAGTCCCCCCACCCTTTTCCCATAAGACGCCCTGGAGGGGTGGTGGAGGGCGGCAGTACATTCTGAACACACATGTTCCTCGCTCCGCCCGCCTTGGCCGCAAAGTAGCTGTACGGTAAGAGTGGGCAGTTATTTCCGCCGCATGCTGTCTAGCTCCCGCCGCCATCCCCGCCGCATCTCTGGCTGTGTCTGTCTCGCTCTCGTTAAGTGGACCCCAGCGACCCATTCCTCGCCCGGCCCGGCCCGGCCGCGCGGCGTGGTCCCTCGGCCGGGAGAGATATCACCACGGCGGAGGCGCGGCCGACGCCAGGCAGGGCGCGACGCGCTTGCAAATTATTAACACGCGTAGCGGAGCGAAAGTGCAAAGTGCACTGACCGTTGTTGGAGCGCGCGGCCGCGGCGGCTATGAAATATTTTCCGCGGGGAGCAAGCGTGGACGCGAACGTGCTCCACACGGCGGTGGCTCAAATGCCGGGGCACTGCCGGCAAATAGCAACACGAAAGGTTTAAAACGCAAACTTTTGCAAGTTTATTCCCACAAATGTAGTCAAAGGCATCCATGCGAAACGGAATTGACGTTGGGGTCTTGTTGTGCGCGGCCCAGCGGCGGCAGACGGCAACATAACCTCAAACCACATCGCTCCGGCCCACGCACGTCGGTCTGCATGTTTGGCTAACTCGCTGTTTTGTTCGTCGCGCAGGTGACGTGGGTGCGGAGGCGGGACTGGCACATCCTCACCACGGGCATCTCCACCTACACCAACGACGAGCGCTTCCAGGTGCTGCACCCGGAGGGCTCCGACGACTGGACGCTGCAGATCAAATACGTGCAGCGCCGGGACAACGGCACCTACGAATGCCAGGTAAGGCGGCCAAATTCGGTGTACAAATCCAAAGAACTTCAGTCAAATTTCGATGAATTTTTGTCGAATTTCGGTCAAAATTCGATGAATTCCAATCGAACTTCGATGGATTTTAATGAATTTCCGTGAATTTCACAAGTTTGATGAATGTCGGTGTACAAATTAGGCTGGAGTTACACCCTGAACGCACGAACCCAAATGAGCGCACGACGGGGCCTTCGCTGTGGTATCCGCCGGCGTCCCCGGAGTCGTACTCCACTAACTACCCACAGCCGTCGCCGCGAGCTTCCCTAGCGCGAATCTAATTTTCCAAGGTTGCGCGATCGCCGCGCTTCTTTGTGGATTTTGCCGCGCTCATTCCCGGCCTGTTTACCTTTGCCTCCGCGCCCTGCGCGCTCTGCTCGCTCTGCTCCTCGTGACCAACTCGCTCAAAAACGGCAGTGGGCCGCCGCCGCTGCTGCTGCCAAGGCGAAGCAGTCGTCTTCTTTTCCCCCCCGAAGCCGGGACGTGCCCGCCTTGGAAGCGATGGCGGCGGTTCTTGCACCGGTCTCGGGTTTTTCGGCTCATTCCGATCCCGTGATCGTCATAAATCGGCGCGGCAAGACTGCCGCATCTGCGCCGGGACGCGCCGCGGACTGCGTGCGTCTCCTGGCACGCTTGCCGCTGCCCGCCTCGGTCGGCCTTGGCCATTAGGTGTTTTAGGGGGTGCTCCCCTTTCAGCCCCCCTTGCAAAGAAAAGATCGGCACCCACACACACACACACACACACACACAACGTGCGCGCGCGCCTCCGCTCTTGACCCTTGATGTGTCCCCTTTGATGTTTTCGCTTCTGTGATTAGAGCCGGGACCGGCAGGCGGGCCCGTACACTCGAGTCTAAAGGTGTGGAAAGGTAGGAAAAAGCAATTGCCGACCCCCTTCCCCTCTTCGAGTATCAGGAAGTCGGAATCAATTTTCTTTTCATGCCGTTTATTAATTAGCTTTCCGGCTCTCGTCGACAACATCGGCGTCGCCGTAGAGCGTTTCCTGCCCTTCTTCCTGTTTCTAGTTTCTCTATCTTTTTTGTGTGTGCTTGCTTGTTTGCGCGGGCCTCGCTGCGCTGCGCCGCGCCGGTCGTTCGCCCACACTGCAAAACTTGATCGCTCCTTGATTGGCCGCCCCTCTGGCCCGCTCTCATTTCCTGTCTGCGGACCGCCCGCGCCCCTCTCCGGCCGGCCTCGTTTTATTAACTATTCTGACTCGCTTATGGAAATAATCCAATTCGAGCGCCCATCCCCACCTTTTACACCTTTTTTGGGTCCAGCTGCCCTCCTCGCTGTTTTTCTCACTCTACCTCTCTCTCTCTCCCGTCGCTGCCCCCCCCCTCTCTCTCTCTCTCTCTCTCTCTCTCTCTCTCTCTCTCTCTCTCTCCTCTCTCTCTCTCTCTCTCTATCTCTCTCTCTGGCTTTCCTGCCAGCGCCGTCCTCCAATCTTTTCCTCAGAGACCGAGGCGAGCGATTATTAAAATTAGGCATTTGCTTCACTCGGTCCCTTCCCGCCGCACCCTGACCCCGCCTCGCTCAAAGCAGAGAGCCCGCGTACCGATGACCGCCTGTTGGGTCGTTTATTGGCCCGGGCCGTTGGTGACTGACTTGCCGGGTGGCGGGCCGCAGTCATGCCTGGTCGATCTAGCTGGAATTTTCCAGCGTGGTTGCAACGCACAGTGCGACGCGCGCCGGTCGGCGGGGCTCAGGCGGCGCTGCTCCGCGCCGCTGGTATCTCTCTTTCCTAAACACATTCGTCGTATGATGCAGTGTCCTCGGCCGCGCAATAACGGGGATACTTAAATCACAGAAAATAGTTATTGCCCGGCCTTAAAGGGGGCATACATCACCACGCGCAAGTGCTCCTGAAGGGCCTGAAGGCACCAAACGCTGGGCGTCCTTGGCTGCCGTGGCCGGCCGGGCCGCCAGGGCGCCGCGCCCCCGAGGAGAGAGGTTAGAGGACTTCATCCGTAGGGCGGGAGGTCGCCGCTGCGTCGCGACAGGCCTCACTTGCATGGTGTGTGTGTGTGTGTGTGTGTGTCCAGGACGCAGCGTGTCTGCATCCAGAAAACACTCGAACATGATTTATTCGAGCAGGTCAGTCGCGGAAAGCACTGCAGGCCGCGCGCTGCTACGCATTGCCCGCTGGAAAAGGGTTTAAAAGAATGGCTTTGATATATCGGCAGGCGCACTCACACACGCGCGGGCCCCCCTCGTGCCCCCCCATCCCACTGCATGAGTTTTGTTGGTGCAGGAAGTCGAGCGCCAGGTTGAAATGAAATATCACCCAAGTTGCCTCCCCCCCCCCCCCGATCCTCCGTCTTGACGCGGCTGACCCGCGCTGATCTCAGCCCCCCCCCCCCCCCCCCCCCGCGGGGCGGCGCACTCGACGGACCGGAGGCTGTTCCGCTCCGCCTTCTCGGAATGTCAAGCCGAACCGAGCGCTGCGTTTAGTTTCGGATCGACGACGACGGCACTCACAGTGGCGTGGCCTTGGTGCAGCCAAGTCAAGGCAGAAGGCTGGAGTTTTAATCTGGATACAAGAAGTATTTTTTTCTGGGCGCGAAAAAAAAACAGAGTTTGGATCAAGAAAATTTTTCCAAAAAAAAGCAAGAGGTGCCTTTTTTCTTCTTATTTGAAAGGTAGTTTTTTGGGGGGGTGCAGATTTACCTGGCCACTGCCTTGCCACTGCTTGGCTACTGCCTGGCCACTGCCTGGCCACTGCCTAGCGCACCCCGACGGGCGCTCCGCCCACTAGGCGTGTCGCAACCCTTTCAAGGCAGGGAATGACAAGAGGTTCGTTAGAGGAGGAGGGGAGGGGTATCGCCCGACGTCCAGTAGTGCAAAGACCTGGGGAATTTTCTGAGCGGCTCAGAGGGCTTGGGAATGATTAATGGTACACCCTCTCCTTGTAGCGCGGGGCGGGGGTTGACGGAAGAAACCCGAAGGAGGGGGGGGTGTCCCCCGGGAAGCGCCACGGAGTGAAGGACTCGTGTGAGACCCGCGCTGAGAATGACAGTAATTGCTGTCGAGAGAGAAACAGTGCGAGAGAGAAAGGAGAGCGTGTGTCCACACTCGGTGTGGTTTTTCGTAACGCCCAGCCCCGCGCGTCAGGGCTGATTGGACTTTACTGCGAATTAACATGAAGCCAACACCGAATCGCGTGGCTGTTGCCGTGCTGGCGAAGAGAGGCTCCGTCGCTCTGCCTCTGTCGCACTCCCGGGTCGTCCCGGAAGGGAGCGAGAGAGACAGACACGACTTTTCGGAATCGCTCGGCTTGCAGCCCGTCTGGCACCACACACTCTGGTTTGCCGGACTGAATCCACTCTTGCCATCAATTCCTGCCTTGTGAAATGGACTTGTCATTTTTATCTCTTTTTACAATACGCAGCCAACTTGGTTTTTTTTGTAATCTGAGTCCTTTTAACTGCTTCCCATCGGTCGGTTTGAAACTCTCCATTCGGCATGGACGGGGCAGGAGTGCCGCGGCACCAGGCCAAATGAAGGCATCCAAACGGACGGGGCCCACACCGCAAGGCCGCGAAGCGAGTGACAGGCGAAGAAAGGGTGTCCGTTTGATTGGTTCCCAGAAAGTCTCGATGCTCCGCTCTTTGAATGCGTGCGGCGGCGCGGGCTGCCTTGAAAAGTACGAGTCTTTCGCGAAGTCGGCGCGCGTTGGCGGCGGAACCTTCGAAGACGCGGCGCACCAACTCAACAAAGAGAAACAACTTGAATCGAGCTGACCGCCACACCGAAGACAACGGCTGGCGAAACCAAGAGCGTGCCAACTTAACAGGGAGACACTGGACTGGGCATATTTCGCGTCTTCAAGCCTCTGGCGTTCGCTTTATTGGACGGGTCAGGCTGTCGGCTCTGCCACGACCACCTTCAACGCCTTGGGGGCGTCTCAAGGTCATCAACACCCACGCACCGAGTCTCGCAGCTGGCGTCGTGGACACGGACGACACCTCTAAACACATACTACGGCGGTAACCGCGTGGGCTGGGGCGCGGGGCTGAGGCGTTGGGCGGGGTGGGGGGGGCGGGGCGGGGCGGGGGGCGGGGTGGCGCTCAGGTAGGTGGCGGCGGCCTTTTTATTTGCGAAACCGGCACTCTGTTTCGTGGGACGATGAGGTGTGAGCTGACCGCGGGGAACATTTGGTGTGTGTGTGTGTGTGTGTGTGTGTGTGTGTGTGTGTGTGGCGCGCGTGTGTGTGTGTGTTGTCGTCAATCCAGCGTGGTTGGGGGTCGTTTGGGGGCCCCCGCAACAGCGAAGCCACGGCGCAGCCATGAAAAAAGGAAGGCCAGCCCCCGTATTTCGCGGCGCTCTCGTAAATAACCATTAGCGGGTAGCGACGTGAACAGACTAAAGGCGTCACTGGCGGACACATTTATTTTATTTATCTGGTCTAGATCAAGCCGCACGTGGACAGCGGTCCATGCCGCAGCGGGCAGCAACAGTGTCCCTCCATCGATTTGGAGTGGTTTGGGCCTCCGGGTCTGGGTCGTACGCACTGCTTTGGCGTTTTGACGCGCTGTTGTCCTGGCGCTGGTGACCCACAGAGTTGCTGGTCCCCCGACTATCCCTCCCCGGGGCTGGGACGCTGGGCCGAGGCGGGCGGGTCCCCCCCGCCGGTCCCCTGGCCCTCTGGCCTTGGTCCTCTGCGGTCTAGGAATCAGAGTCCGTCCGCGGTTTCTTAACTAGTTAACTCCTACAGGCCGAGCCCTCTGCTGTTTATCATGCTAATGCTGCCCAGCAGCACACTGTCAAAATAGAGAATGCTCCCGACGTTTTCGTCAGTCGACATTAACATCATGTTTCAGGAGCAAATTGTTTGTTACTTTTTAATTGGCTGATGTCTAGTAATCAACCAGGTTTGACTTCTCAGCTGGAATTGGCGAGATGTCTGGCGGCTGCTGCATAGCGCCCGCGAACTGTGCGATAGGCAACACGCCGCGCACGGCCGCGCCGCGCTC